GGTCTTTTTGAGACAGGGTCTCCCTGTAGCCCCAGCTGTCCTGGAACTCACTATGTAGACCAGGCTGGCCTTGAACTCACAGAGATCTGCCTGCCTCTGCCTCCTGAGTGCTGGGATTAAAGGCGTGCGCCACCATGCTCGGCTTATTTATTTATTTATTTTTTAATTTTTGAAAGGGCAATGTTGCAAACATTTCCCAATGCCTAATTATTTCAAGATAGTTTATTTTTTAAATGGGTCGCAACACTAAGCTTTTGGTCCATTCTGCCTTTGTACAAGCTACAAATGCTTGCTTGGCAGCTGAGGGGCACACATTAGTTATCATGTCTGAAAAGTGAATAAAAATCCATATAAAACAAATATTCAAAGTTTCCATAGGAAAACAGGTGTGACCCCCAACTCCTAGCCTTCCACATTGCTGCATCTGTGCCAACCCTATTCTTACAAAGACATTTCAAAACTAGCAGTAATTAAGTTAAATGGTCCCCCCAGATCCCTTAATTCAAGCTACACTTGCAGGTAACTGCTACAAGAATGGTATCTACACATTGATACTAGTAGAAGCACAGGCTGCTGGGTGATGGTCCAGCCTGCTCTCCTGAGCACAAGACATGGGCACAGTGCTGATGTCCTGCTCCTCTATTTCCAGCAGGAAGTCATGGTTCTGGATATGCTTCATGAGTTGCCACACTGATCGTGACATCACATAATAGATAGTGGGCCTCTGGAATCCATTGAAGTAGAAGCAGCAGCAACTGTGTATGCACCCATGTTTTCAAAGAGCAGCCTATACCCAAGTGCATTTCAGTCAGGTTAGTCACAGTGCTCAGTGATCCAATCTAGGTCATCACACATTGGTCCCCATATGCTGGATGACTAATACTTCTCATCTGGTTTAAGTCTCTTCTGTAGCAGGGGCTTTACATGTGCATGATTGAAAAGGATGCAATTAAATGATCTATATACTCTGTCATTCACATAATACATAAAAGTTTGTTCATTCAACTCATCTTCATCATCAGAACCAGTCTGCTCCTTCAATACGAGTTTTTTGGCAATGATATTGACTGCAAGTGTGAAAGCTTATGCAACATAGTATGTGCCTGGCTCAGCTATGATTCTCATTCCACAGTCTGATGGAAAATACTTGTCCAGCGCTGGGTTGATCACACTGGTGATCTCTTCAAATTTAAGCTTCGTATCCTCAGATCCAGGAAAGCCACCACCAATATCAAGCAGATACATGCTGAAACCAACTTCAGCTCCCATGTCAAAGACACAGGAGGCATCTGATACTGCTTGCACAAAGGTCTCCAGAACAGTACAGCCACTCCCCGCGTGGAAGCTGACCCCAATGACATCAATATTTAGCTGTTTTGCCCATTCCAAAAGAAGTTTGCTGGTTTTGACTGTGGCACCAAATTTAACACTGAGGCAACAAACTGCTTTGGAAGCATCAGTGGCAATCCACAAAACCAACTTTGCTTTTGGATGTGCTTTGGCGACTTTCATCAACTCAACTTCACTATCAAAAGTCATCATCTGGACTCCATTACTGACAGCATACTTAATTTGAGACACTTGTTTACTAGAATTTGCATAGATAATCCTCTCTGGAGGGACACCGAGGCTCTGTACCAACTGGATTTCAGTCTTGCTGGTACAGTGGAATCCTGTCCCTATGGCAGCTAGGGTGTTCACTATGGCTCTGCTGTCACTACATTTGACATCATAAAAGGGGGTTACATAGGAAAGAGCTTTTAACCACCTCAGATGTTTCTTTAGAATGTCTCTGAGGTCTGTGACATAGAAAGCACCCTTACCATCATCAGAAGAAACTTCATTAATTTTTTGGTCTAGGATGTCCTTGGCAGTAAAGCCTTCATCGAGGATGTGGCAGTCAGACTCTTCCTTATTAAAGTTGTTCATGGTTTCTTGGTGTGCCTATGGAAAACTTAGAGATGGTATTAAAGAAGCAGATTTCTAGCTTCTCACAAAGGCAGAACTCTCCAGGAGCTCTGAATCTTGTCTCCTCGAAGCAGCAGTGGAAATGTTCTCACAGTGCCCAGGTGTCGCCGCGCAGCAGCCGGAGCCAGAGGACTGCCCAGCCGCTCACGTTGGCAGTGGCGGGAGGTGGCGCAGAGCTGCTGGCTGAGGGCGGCCGGGGGCGGCTGCAGGGATTGACCAGGATTTTTTTTTTTTTAATGTGTATCTATGTGTGTCTGCATCCATATATGTGTGGGTGCTTGAAAAGGCCAGAAGAGGGTGTCAGACACACCACCCAGATGGAGTTACAGGTGGCAGTGAGCCACCTCTGTGTGGGTGCTGGGAATACAACCTGGGTCCTCTGGAAAAGCAGCAAACAATCTTAACCTCCGAGCCATCTTTCTAGCCCCAGTACTCATTTTCTTGAGACTATCAGGCACTCACAGTTGCCCAGTTCAGTTGTGATTTCTGCCAGGAATGTTCTGTCACATCCTTATCAGACTTGAATTTGTTAAGGATAGCAGAAATTACACTCTCTACCGTTTTCCTAATATATACCCCTTCTTCGTATTTTCACATCACTTAGCATTTATCTCTAGACTTTTAATTTTAGTTGAATGAGTACTTAATTCTATTCTCCCATCTGTTAATGGCCATATTGTGGTAGCGTCTGGGCATTTATGAAGGACTCACTATATGTCAGTTCTGACTTTTATTGCTTAGTTCAATTTTTCTACAATCCTTAAAAAAATGCTGTTATTATTTCCATTTTTCGGTTGTAGAAACTGTGGCCTGGTGTCTTGCCCAGTGTCACGAATACAAAGGGTGAAAGAAAACAGGTTTTAGAACCTAGGCTCTTAATCACTAAACTATGCTGCCTCAATAATTCGTTCTAAGAATAAATGAATGAACGAACTAACAAGAAACTGCCCTCTCCCCTAACTTCACCGACAGGAGTAAGAGGAGTACCGAACCTAAGTTCGGGAGGTGCAGGGTCGGGGGGTCCTTGGTCACCATCAGCAGGCTTGGGCACCAATCACAGAATCTAGGAAGTCTGTTTCCAGGGCAGCTCTGGACCTGAACCCCACAATTTGGGAGAACTACTCACCGCCGTGTTCCAGGAGCCGTCGGGGCTGATGTCTGCCTCTGAGACGCCTGAGACGAGGACCGGGTCAAGCCTAGAAAAGCTGATTTATTGATTAATGGGCCATGGAGGCCGGAAGCGCTTCTTCTTAATCGTACTTCGTCACAGGAAGTCCCTGCAATCCAATTGCAACATTTAAAGATATCCCCATTCTGCGCAGCACCATGACAGCTTTTTTTTTTTTTTTTTTTTTTTTTTTTTTAAACACCATGACTACCAGTGTTACATATCGCTTTGCAACTCTCTGGGCCTTGAAATTGTTCCCACCACGGCCCCGGAGAGAAGCCGCTGGGGGCTGGGAAGAGTGAGACTTAGGCAGGAACGTGGAGAGCAAGGGTGTGCGGTTTCCGAGGGACACATTTCGAGCCTGCACCAAGCCGAGGATGGCTGAACCGCCCTCTCCGCCAGAGCAGCCGGCGTCTCTAGAACTCAGTGGCGAGTTTAAAAAGCCGGTCTTGCCGGTGCTCCCGGTAGTGCGGGGTAAGGCTCCGGCCCCGAGTCCCCCGAGCCCCGAGGAAGGGAAGAAGGACTGTCCGACGGCGCTGCCAGACTCCGATAGTGGGCAGCCCGACGTCCCGCCGCCTCAGTCAGACGGCCGGGAGACAAGTCCACAGGAACAGCCCCGCCCCCCACGGGTAGCTGTTTCTCCGGGAGGCCCGGCCCGGACTCGCCCGTACCAAGAGCCGTCATGGGGCAGCCCTGCCACGGCCCCCTACAGCCTCGAAACCTTGAAGGGTGGCACTATTCTTGGCACCCGCAGCTTGCAAGGCATGAGCTGCTGCCTCTTCGGGAGACTGGCTAGCTGTGACGTCTGCCTGGAGCACCCTTCGGTGTCTCGGTACCATGCAGTGCTGCAGCACAGGGGGTCCGACCCGGACGGAGCAGGCGACTCTCACGCGCAGGGCTTCTTTCTATATGATCTGGGAAGTACCCATGGCACTTTCCTCAACAAAACGCGCATCCCACCCCGCACCTACTGTCGAGTCCACGTCGGGCACGTGTTTCGCTTTGGAGGCAGTACCCGGCTCTTCATCCTTCAGGTAAGTGGAACAGTCTAAAATGGAAATCTTGTGACTTCCTCGTGCGGTGCTGGGACTCTTGAGTTAGTTTAAGCTTTAGTCGAGAAGATTGCCCTAGTCAACAGTGACAAAAGCAGAAGCCTCATTCTGCACCCTCGTATCCAGATAGACACTTCCTATACACTGCTGTATCTCTGAAAGTGATTTCCGCGTTCCTGAACTCTTTTTTTTTTTCTTGATTCATTAGGGACCAGAGGAAGACCGAGAGGCAGAATCTGAGTTAACAGTAACTCAGCTGAAGGAACTGCGTAAGCAGCAACAGATGCTATTGGAGAAGAAGATGTTAGGTGACGACTCAGATGAAGAAGAAATGGATACCACTGAAGGGACAAGGAATATTAGTGATCAAGATGATGACATGGGTTGCACCTGGGGAATGGGTAAGAAAATTGCTAGCAAAGGTTAATGTTTTTTGTATTCATTGCTAGTGGCACCCTTAAATGTTTTTTTATCACACAGCATCTCATGACTCTTTGAAATAGGTATAGGATAAACAAAATTTGCAGATTAGGTAACCAAAGCCCAGAGGGGGCCATTAACTTTACAGATATAAAAAAAAATTGAGGGGCTGGAGAAATGACTCAGTAGTTAAGAGCACTTGCTGCTCTTGCAGAGGACCCAGGTTCAGTTCCCAGCACCCCACATGGTGGCTCACAATTTTCTGTAACTCCAATTCCAGGGTATTGGCTCCTTCTGGCCTTCATGGGCACCAGGCATGCAAGTGATGCACATATACACATGCAGGCAAGCACTCATACACATTTAAAAAAAAAATCTTTGAAATTGAATTATGGGTACTATAGATATATTTAAATATATTTTTAGTGCAATTTCTTGTTCAAAAGTCTTCTCTACCATATAATCAGTTATTATTTTCATCATTTAAAAATATATTATTTTGTTCTGAGTGCTAAATAATTTTCACAGATGGCTTACAGTTCAATCAAATGAAATGGAATGTTACTCAACATAGGAATATACTTTTGAATTTTTTTGTACTTTATGAAAATAGCCTGAATGGTGAAGGAAGCTGGTCTCCTAGCTAAAGGCATGAACTAAATTTTTTCACAAACACCAGACGTTTTGGAGGATGGATGTTCAGGATATAGGTCTATAAAAAGAAGTTGGGACTGGCAAGGTGGTTCATTGAGTGAAAGTGCTTGCTGCTGAGACTGATGACCTGAATTTGATCCATAGGACCCACATGGTGGAAGGAGGGAACTGACTCTCGAAAGTTGTCCTCTGACCTCTTCCTGTACTGTGGCACCTGTGTGTGCACAGACCTACACACAAAATAAAAATAAATAATGTTTTTAAAAAGTAAAGTAGAAGTTGGATAGAAGTTGGGGCTAGTGAGATGAGTCAGCTGATAAAGACACCTGCCCTTCAAGGGTGACAGCCTGAGTTTGATTCCTGGTCTCATGTGATGGAAGAAGAGAAAGAACTCCTGTAAGTTGTCTTCAGACCCACAGACAGACAAGACAGACAGACAGACAGACAGACAGACAGACACACACACAACACACACACACAAATAATAATAATAATAATTAAAAAAATGTAATTAAAGGATTTGGAGCCAGGTGTGGTGGTGCACACCTTTAATCCCAGCACACAAGAGGCAGGGGCAGGTGGATCTCTATGAGATCAAGGTCAGCCTGGTCAGCCTGAGTTCCAGGCCAGCTGGGGCTACAGGAGACCCTGTCTCAAAATATATAAAATAAAATAAAGTTGGCCTTAATGTAAAGGTGAGAAGACAGGATAAATATACAATTACTGATTCAAAGTGCCAAGAATAATCTGGGAACAGTAGTATTCTAGAGTTAGCTATCAGAGAAGGAAGCAGTCATTGAGAACTTAGACCTGTGGTACCCAATATGTTAGTGGTTATCTACATGTGGTTATTGAGTACTTCCAATGTGGCTAGACCAAATTGACATGTCCTCTAAGTACAAACTACAGACAGGATTTCAAAAACAGTGTGAAAAAAAGGACTAAAATATCTGTATCATATTTCTTGTATTGATTATATGTTGAAATGACAGTTACTTCATCTCTCTACCTTTTTAATGTAACTAATAGAAAATTCAAGATTATACATATAATTTTGATATTTCTGTTGATAGTACAAACTTAGATCTTTGGGAAACTATAAATTTATTTTTTATTTAATTACATTTTAATTTGAATTTGTGTGTGTGTGTGTGTGTACCTGCATGCCATGCCTTGGTGTACAAGTGGGGGTCAGAGGACAACTTTCAGGAGTCTTTTCTCTCCTTTTACCATGTGGATCTCAGGGATTGAACTCAAGTTGTCAAGCTTGGCAGCAAGCACCTTTACACACAGAGCCATCCCTTTGGCCCACTTGATAAATTTATGAACAAGGATTTTAAGCTGGAACTTGAAGGAATGAAAAAGTGTCCCTAATAAAGCTGCATGTTAGGTTAGTGTTCAGAGCAGAGACTCATGGTTTTAAGGGAGTGGTGGATTTGCCAGTCCGTTTGGCAGATTTGAGAATTGCATTGGAATTGATGAGTCAGACCTGAGTAGGAGGGAAAGAGAATGATAACTGAAGAGCACTGTTGTTTTCAAAGTGGGGTTGGTACATTTTGCCTTTAAAATAATGTGATGGAGGAGGAAAAGTGCCATGGAAACAAGCTTTGTCTTGTTACATAATTTGAAAAACTTGATGTTCATAGTGGTGATTTAAAAAAATTTTTTTTTAATTTATTGTTTTTATTTTGTGTGTATTCGTGTATTGCCTGCATGCAGGTAAGTGCTCCTGTGTTGTGCAATACCTGTGGAGGTCAGAAGAGGCTGTCCGATCCCCTGGAACTGGAGTTACAGACAGTTGTTAGCTGCCATGTGGGTGCTGGGATTCAAACAAGGCAAGAACAACCAGTGTTCTTAACTGCTGAGCCATCTCTCCAGCCCCCATAGTGGTGATTTTGTGATTATTTCATTCCATGTCCCCAAATAGCTTTCTTTTCATCACTTAAAATTATAAGCAAATAAGCTGGGTGTGGTGGAGCACTGATAAGGTCCTTCTGCTCCTAGCCTCTTCTGGTCTTTTATCATAAAGGATGCTGCGTTTTGTCAATGGTGTTTTCTGCATCTATTGAGAAGATTGTGTGTGTGTGTGTGTGTGTGTGTGTGTGTATGTATGCAAATATATAGAGAAATATAAGTTTATAATTATTTTCCTTGAAACAGTGTCTGTCTGTGTAGTCCAGGCTGTCCTGGTACTTATGATTCTCCTGCCTCAGCCTCCTGAATGCTGAGATTCCACTATGCCCAGCTTATATAATTACATCTCTCCTTAACCTAGAAGGATAACAGATGTCATTCCAATGGATGTCATGTCCATCCTCCTCTTGTATCCATTCCTTTTTGTGCCCTGCAGGAGAAGACGCTGTAGAGGATGAAGCTGAAGAGAACCCTGTTGCCTTAGAGTTTCAGCAGGATCGGGAAGCCTTTTATATAAAGGATCCAAAAAAGGCTCTGCTAGGTTTCTTCGACCGAGAAGGTATGTAACTAAGTTTCTGAGCTGACAGTGAAATGTACTTACGGCAGGTATTGTTTCATAAGCTTTAAGTCTAGCTTCAAACTTCTAAATGCTAGAGTTTATCTTGTTCTGCTTGTTTAGTTCTTACCCTGTGATCAGTTCCTTTGGCTTTATTTCTACTTTTTGTAGTGTGCTGAGGTCAAACCCAGGATTTGTGCTAAGGAAGTGCTCTGTCACTGAGCTATACCTCCAGTCTGAGGTTTATTTTGAAGATAGTAAGACTCTTGCTTGTATGTCTTTTCATCTTAAAGTAAAAGAAACACTTTTCTTCTGACTCATCCCATTCCTCTCAAAAGTTCTTGGACTTTGGTGGTAGGAAAATGAAACAAAGTCTCAGTATTTTTTGTTCCTAATTTACCTGATCTTTTATAATTATTATTTTTTAGTGTGTGTATGTGTGTGTGCAGATGTATGTACGTGTATGCATGTATGTGCTCATGTATGTGGAGGCTCCAAAACGATCTTGGGTGTCATCCTCAGGAATACCATCTACCTTTTTTGAGACAGGGTTTCTCATTGGCCTGGATCTTACCAATAAGGAGTGTCTAGAGAGCCTCAGGGATCCTCCTGTCTCTACCTCCCCAGTGCTGGAATTGCAAGCATGTGCCACCATGCTCCCAGGCACTTTTACATGGTTTCTGGGGATCCAGCTCAGGTACTTGTGCTTACACGGTAGACATTTTTCCAACTGAGCTATCCCCTACAGCCCCTTGTTTATGATTCTTGGGTAGATTTCACCTTCGTATGTGTCCTAGTTTGTTCTTCATTGCTATGACAAAATACTCTGACCACTACCAACTAGGAGAGGAAAAGGTTTATTTGTCTTACATCTCCCAGGTCACAGTTCATCCAAGAGCCCAAGGTAGGAACTCAGGACAGGAACCTGGAGGGAGGATCTGGAGCACAGGCCATGGGGAATCACTGCTTACTGGCTTGCTCCCCTGGCCCCTGCTCAGCCTGCTTTCTTATGCAACACAGGTCCACCTGCCCAGGGATGGCACCACCCACGGTGGGCTGGGCCCTCCCCCATCACTCATCAAGCAGGTGCCACATGGACATGGCTACAGGCCAGTCCAATGAAGGAAATTCCCCAATTGAGGCTCCCTCAACCCAGGTATGTCAAGGTGACACCAAAGCTATCCAGTACAATATCATAAAAAATGTTCCCCCAGAAGAGTGTTTCAGTAGAGGTACTTTAAGAGAACATCTATGCATGTTTATGTGTATATGCATGTATATGTATGTATTTACACATGCATAGTTATTCATGGACTTTTTAGGGGATTGGTTTCGGGATACTTCCTTTAGGATACCAAGATCTGAGAATGCTCAAGTGCCTTATATCAAGTATCACAGTATTTGGATATAAGCTACATATAATGTCCTATATATTTTTTTTTTTTTTTTTTTGGTCTTTTTGAGACAGGGTCTCCCTGTTAGCCTTAGCTGGCCTGGAACTTACTATGTAGACCCGACTGGCCTTGATCTTGCAGAATCCACCTGCTTCTGCCTCCCTAGTGCTGGGATTAAAGGCATGTGCCACCAAGCCCAGCTGTGTCCTATATACTTTAAATATCCCCTAGATTATTTACAATACCTAATATAGTGTAAATGGTCATTATACTGTATTGTTTAGGGAAAACGTATATATTCAGAACAATTTTTTTTTCTCCTTTGAATATTTTCAATCTGTAATTGGTTGAATCCCACTAAGGAAAAATCTTGTGTGTCTGTATGTGTTTGTACATACATATAAATGAAAATGGATATGAACTAGTTGCTTTCTACACTTAATATTTATGCTTCTAGCCAGGCATGGTGATGGACACCTGTGATCTAACATTTGGAAAGTAGAGGCAGAAAGATCAGAAGTTCAAGGTCATGCTCATCTACACAGTGAGTTCAAGGCCAATCTGAACAACATGAAACCCTGTCTCAAACAACAAAATGTGTTTTATGCCTCTAAAAGCTAACTGTGCCTAAAAAGCAATGAAAATCTACAACTCAAAGAAAGTGTGAAAATTGGAGCTGGAGAGATGGCTCGATTTGTAAAGTGCCTGCTTGTGCAAACATGAAAGACTTAAGTTTTGACCCCCAGCACTCACAAAAAAGCTGAATGTGGTAATATGCATGTCTATGCTGAGGAGGCAGAGACAGGTAGATTCCTGGAGCTTATTGGCTGGCCAGCCAGCCTAGCCGAATCGATGGGCTCAGGTTTGGTAAGAGACTCTGTCTCAAAAAATAGGGTGGTGGAGAATGACTAAGGAAAAACAACTGCTGGCCTCCACCTGCATGAACACACCCATGCATGTATATCTGCATGAACATGTACACGTATACTTTACACACAGACATGCACACACATACATACAATTTGTGTAAACAAAACTATATATGGAGAGATGATTGGTTTGGGAGTTTTGATGGTGCTGGGATCAAATCCAGGGCATTGTGCATACTGAACAAACGTTCTATCATAACTAACCTATAACTCTCAACTTGCTGTTTTTCTCTTATGAGACAACAAGGTCTCACTAAGTTACCCAGGCGGGTCTTGAACTAACTCTGAAGCCTAGGCAGCTCTTGAAGCTGCGATCCTCTTGCCCTCCTGCTTTAAGTCTCTGAATAGGTAGGATTACAGACTTACACAGCCAGGCTTGTATTTTGTTTTGGCTTGTGTCTTGTAGTAGTAAGGTTGAACCTTGAACCTTGTGTATTTCTACACAAACACTCTACCACTGAGTTATATGCCAGCCCTGGGTTTTTTTGTTTGGTTTTGTTGTGTTTTTATTTATATGAGTGTTTTGCCTGCATGTATGCAAGTGGACCTGTGTTGTAAAATGCCCATGGAGGCCAACAGAGGTGTTGGATCCCCTGAAACTGGAATTATGGACAGTTGTTAGCTGCCATGTGGGTGCTCTTAACTGCTGAGCCATCTCCCCCACTTTTTTTTTTTTTGAGACAGGATCCTACTCTGTAGCCCAGGCTAGCTTCAAACTTACAATGTAACTCAAGCTGACCTTGAATTTGCAATGATCTTCCTACCCCTGCCCCTGAGTGCTGGGATTATGAGCTTGGGCCACCATACCTGGCTCCAGCCCTCGTTTTTTAAAGTTTATGGGGAGTTTTGAGACAAGGTTTCATTAAATTGGCCTTGAATTCACTCTGTAGCCCAGGTAGACCTTAACCTTGACATTTTCCTGCCTCAGCCTCCCAAGAAGTTGGGATTAAAAGTCTCTTCCACCAGGCCCTACTGAGTTGTTTATTCTGATCTAAAATTATTCTTCTCCATGTCATACTCATCTTAGATTTATTTTCAGGTGATAATCCTTGGGAATAAACAAAATGTATTGAGAGTTAGTGTTCATTGTGATATTAAAACTTGCCTTTAACTTTCGCTTTCCTTATTGTATCAACTAGCAATTTTCAGATTTTATTGAAATTGTTTTCTTTCTCTCACAGGAGAAGAATTAGAATATGAATTTGATGAACAGGGACATAGCACTTGGCTCTGCAGGGTGAGGTATGTTCTTTTCTTTTTTCAGTTTTTAGATGGTTTGTGAGACAGGGTCTAGTTATGTAGCTCATGCTGGCCTTGAACTTACAGTCCACTCTCTTCTGTCTACCAAGTGCTGGGATTATGTGTTCTTTTTTGTTAATGTCTATATCTGGAAAGTGCCCAATTTCAAGTTGATTTATAGTTGTAGAGAACAGTCCCAAAGAGTAATTTTAATTTTGGGCTATTTTCTAAGCTTGGACCTTGATACTTTAGTAGCACTTAGGGAGGTAGGGTGGAATGAATAAGAGGTGGAAGGAAATGATTTGAGGTCCATCCTTGGTAAGATAGAATGGAATTCAGTGAGAGATTGAAAAGCCAGCTAAGAAAACATAACTGTCATCACAGCATAATAGTTGTTTTCATGAGAATCGGAGCTTACTGCTGTGCTGTCAACCAATGTAGATTACCTGTAGATGATTCAACTGGGAAACAGCTGGTGGCTGAGGCCATTCACTCAGGAAAGAAAAAAGAAGCAATGATCCAGTGCTCCTTGGAAGCGTGTCGGATCCTTGATACATTGGGATTGTTGCGACAGGAAGCGGGTCAGTATATGGGAGTCATTTTTTCTTTTCTTTTTTCAAAAAGATTTACTTTCTGTGTGTGAATATATTGCCTGCATGTATTTTCATGCACCACATGTGTCCCTGGTACCCTTGAAGAGGGTGTTGGATCCCATAGAACTGGAGTTTTGGATAGTTGTGAGCTGCCATTTGGGTGCTGAAGACTGAACCCAGGTCCTCTGGAAGAGCAGTCAATACTCTTAACCACTGAGCCATTTCTCCAGACCCCATTTTTCTTTTAAAAAGCAAAGAAGGATGGGGCTGGAGAGATGGCTCAGCAGTTAAGAACACTAGTTGTTCTTGCAGAAGACCTGGGTTCGAATCCCAGCACCCACATAGCAGCTAACAACTGTCCTTAACTCCAGTTCCAGGGGATCCAACAGCTTCTTGTGTCCTCCGCGGGCATTGCACGACACAGGTGCACTTACCTACACACAGGCAATACACACATACACATAAAAAAAAAAAAGAAAAAGGCATAACCCTCTTGCCTGTCTCCTGGGTAAGTCCATCATGCCCTCTGCGACTTGACTCCCCCAGCCCATTCACCCTCCCATCTCACCCGCCTGTCTCTCCTAGCCTGGGTACTGTCCCATTCCTTGTCTTGGCACCCCAGACACAACCACCACTGCTTCCTGATCCTTTGCATCCAGACCAACCCAGTTCCTTCTCGCGGTCCCCAGGAGCCATCTGGACCTGGTCCCACCCTTACCTCCCTCTGCTTCCCTGGGCTGCACAGCCTCTTTCCTGGGTACCAGGGCTGACCTCTCGGCTTCCTAATCCTTTGCATCTAGACCAACCCAGTTCCTCCCTGCAGTACCCAGGAGCCCTTGGGGCCTCTTCCCACCCCCATCTCCTTTTGCATCTCTGGGTGATGCCACCAGCTGCCCGAGACCAGCATCTTTCCTGGGCCTGGCTCCCAGGCCGGTCCAACCCCTAAATTCCTGAGGACAACATCTTTCCTGGAGGGATCCAGACCTTAGGAGAAAGCCTGAGAGCATCTGATCCTCATCTGACTTAGGCCTCTGTGGGAACTCCTGAAGACAAAAGGAATCTGGCCACTCCAATATAAAATCAAAAGAAAGAACCTGAAGCCTAGACCAACCAGCTTTTAATGCCCAAGTAAATCACAAAGGCACATAAAGTTTATAAAAAGAAGCAGATCTAAACTCAACAAAGGAAGGCTGGAGTCTCACACAAGAATCAGAAACTATGAAAGAAATTCACATGTCAAAGTTACAGAGAAAAAATAACATGAAAAATGAAAATAATATGTCCCCACCAAGTACCTACAGTCCTCTAGAAGAGTAAAATGAGAACTCCCTAGAGATAACACAGGACATGGAACTCAAAAGAACAATTATAAAACATGATAAAAGAATTCAGTAAATTTAAAGAATACACAAACAAAGAAATCAAAGAACTGAAGGAAGATAGGGATAAACTTCTGAATGAATTCAGAAAAGAACTAAAAATATTGAAGATGACTCAGGCTGAAATGAAGAAGGAAGTGAAACACTTAGTAAGGCAATTAGAAACAACAGGAGAAAGCCTCAACAACAGGATGAATGAAATGGAATACAGAATTTCAAGACTGGAAGATAAAGTGGACGAACTAGACCACTCAAGCAAAGATTATGAAAAATTTAAGAAAGCACAAGAATGGAATGTGCAGGAATCGTGTGACACTGTAAAAAGACCAGACTTACGAATCATAGGTATGCAGGAAGGAGAAGAATCCCAAGATAATGGCATGGACCAGATCTTCAACAGAATCGTGGAAGAAAATTTCCCCAA